CAATGCACTGTTAGTTAACAATTCACAATTCTTTGCTAGTAGTTATGGTTCTATTTTCATTATGAACCACTAGAACTTTGAGAGTATGGGCAGAGAAGGTGCCCCCTTCAATCCCCTCCCCACACAGAAGCAGACATAGACAACACAAGTTTATAGTATGTATCTTTACCATGATTACAAGTAGAGAGGCACAGGGATGTTTCAGGAAACAGAAGAAGGAACTTGTGAGCCACTGGTCACTGGGTGCTGAATTAGTTAAGGGGAGTGGGAACTTCCCCATTCTCAGAATTACATGAAGCAGGTTTATTACTCACAGACAGGAAGAGGGAACAACAGAAGCATAGAATTTGCAACAAACATCTCCAAGGTTTAGGAAGGATGCCTGGGCAGTCTCAACCACATATGTCTATGTGTCTTATTTGTACCACAGCTGAAGGAGTAGGGATATAGCCTCCCTCTGTCTGACACTAACCAATGACCAGCCCAGGCTGGAAGCAAAGGTGCTTCTCCAGGAATTTTGAGAGGCACAAGCAAATGGAGTCAACTCAATGTGAAAAGCTAAACTAGAAAATTATGAAGATTCTGGGGGCTGTTAGCTTGCTACTCTGTAGGAACTAAGTAGGTCTGCAGTAGAAAGGCCAGTCTACATGTACAGAAAGGAAGAAAGATGACGGCTATCCCTGGGAGAAACCTGTGGCCCAGAGGGAAGAGGAAGCAGAACATTATCATTGGTCATGAACATGAACCTCGAAGAATTTTAATCATTTGTTTCTAAACATTAAAGAAAGCAAAGACCTGTGGGGAGAGCTGAATGAAGGAGCACTTGCCTAAATACCCAAACTACTGGATTTTAACTTCACAACTACCAAGCCAAACTAAGCCATCCACCCCAATGAACAACAACAAAGGGGGTGGTGTACACATTAATCTATATGCCTTATAACTTACTTTTATTAAACTGTCTTCTCATGGGAAAATAATCTCTAACTTCAGTTAAAAAGGTTAACAAGTTTTCTAATTGCTTTATAATGCCCAACACATGAACAGACTATAAAGGTCAACAGAATTTTCAGAAAAATCATAACTGTGACAGGAAGCTGACATTAAGCCACATTTTTCTCAATATAACTACTAGAAATGAACAAAACAAGAATTTCACCTTGTTTCTATTCCTCCCTTTCTTCTAACATGGATACTCCATTTACTAGGCAGTGGAAGGGAAGTAAGATAAAATTCTCCCTATGAATGTCAATTTGCTGGCCATTCTTGCTGCCTTCACAGTCGAGATTCTTACTGAGCCATCACACTGTCTAGGCTAGAATTCAGTTTCCTGTGTGTTGAAGACAAACTACTGACTATATTAATAAAAACTAAAATCCCAATGGATATTTCCAACCTTTAAAGAAAAAAATTCACTCAGGTAAAAATAAAAAATCAATGTATGCCAAAATAAATGAGCAAGAGCCCATTGCTGTCAATCTCAAAGCAGCTTCTAAAAGGTCACTTCCTCATTACAAGGGGGCAAATCTAACAGATTAACATGACTAAAGTAACAACCTCAGCAGCAGGGTAAAGTGAGGCAGGTGCTTCTTCCTTCAAAGCCCTCCAATGGGGTTCATGTCAAAGGGTCACAACCAGAATCCAATAGAGAAGACACCTCAAAGAACTCACACCGGGAGCCCTCAGTAAAGTGGTTACTTCCAGTCTTTGCTTCAATGTGAAGAATGCCTAAGAACTTAGGCTCTGGGTACAGCTAAGTTGATGGAGGACTAACCTAACACACATCGAGTCCTGTTTTCAATGCCCAGGTTTCTATAAATTAGTTCAAAGGTACGCACCTCTAATCCCAACACCTGAGTGGTACAGATAAGAGGACAGAGAATTCAAAGTCATCCTTGCAATATAGTAAGCTCAAGGCCAGCCTGGGATATATAAGATTCTGTCTCAAAACACAAAGAAAAAGGAACAAAGAAACATGCAAACAAAATGCAATGTATGATTCTGAACTAATTAAAAAAAATTCTTGCCAGTACATAGCAGACAAGGGAATTTTAATATTGTTTACATGTTACATCACCATGTTACAGTATTAAAGAGAATATCTGAGTATTCAACCTTAAGTGTTTAGGGTTGGCAGATCATACTGAGGTGTGCTTCTCTCAAAACTACTTCCCAAAAGAGGACACACAAATACAGTCAAATTGTTACAACTGGTAGCTTTAGATGAAAAGTATTTTAGTTCACTGGACCATTTCTGCTGAAATTATTTCCAATTAAGAGGACTTGGTCTCATAAGGAAACTTTTCTCTTTCACACTCTTTGCCACTGTAATCAACAACATGGAAGCTCCGCCTTGCAAAAAGTTGAGAGCAGGCACACTGAAGGACTTTGGTTCTTTCAAGGGCTCACTAAACTGTAGGAGCTCAAGATTTGACATACCAAGCTCATTATACAAAAAAGAGAAATCTCTCACTTATTAAAAATGTGCTAAACAGTGAAATTCAGGTGACTGCAAATGCATTCAATCTTTCTGACCTAAGACAATGTCCATGATGTCATAGGTGGCCCTTAGCTGGGAGACAGCTATTCCCATTCTCCTAAAGTTTTGCTGTGGTGACATTCCTGTGACTTCTTATGTACAGCAGACTCAGAGTGTGTCTGCCTGATATCCTCCCTATACTCACCCCATCATCCCTCCCACTCATACCATATCCCACAGGACTTGGTCCAAGTACTGCCTCCTCCAGCATGATTCCAACATTCCTGTGACACCAGAACATCTGTCACAGAAATCATTGCATTGTCTTGTGTGACTTCTTATTTTCTATTGCATATTTTTCTGCATAAACAAACATTTCTGCCCATGTCTAAAATAAAGAACCAATTAGAGGCAAATGTAAATTCTCCCTCAGTTCTTTAACTGAGAAAGGAACTAAATACAAATGGGCAGAATGGCATGCAAACTAAACACTAAAATGTTTCATAAGCCATTTATGGGATATTTAGCACGGGGGGTGGGGGGAGGAGAATGGCCTCATTCGACAGCTGGCATTTCTGACATGCACCTTCTCTTTGTTTAAGCCTATACAGAAAGTAAGACTAGTATGATTTCCAGTGGCCCAAGCTTGAACTGCAAGCATCTTCCTTTTCCACCCAAATATATTTTCTTTTTCTAGTTCTCAGTATGGAACCCAAGAGTCTGTTCATGCTCAACAAGTGTGCTGTTCCTACACTAGAAAACCTCTGACCCTTATGGTAACACTTACATCATGTTACTTAATTCATCCTCTCAAATATAAGGGCAGATATTAAACTATTTCAAATATGTAAAGCAAGTTGTTTCTCTTTCCTTCTTCATACCAGACATGCTTTTTTCTTTTGTCTAAGTTTCACTGATTCTTCCAAACACAGATCCAAAATCTACTGGCTAATAAGCAGATCTTAATCAAAACACAAGCCAGACCTTATTCCTTAAGTTGCAAGGACCCATGTGTAAAAATCTGTTTTCAATTTTGTTTAATTATAAAATGCACACAGGCTCCTATCCTTCAGGACTGTGTCTGTACAATGCTCCCTATTTACTTCTTGTATTACAGGAGCTGGTATTTCAGGGAAAAAAATCTAAGATATATGTTACATTGGCATTGCCAATCAACTGTAACTTGTCATGTACAGTGTTAGAGAAACTGTAAAGAATCAAGAAAAACTTCTTGTTTGTATGAGACAGTGTGTGGTCTACTGTCATAATAAAGTCTAAGAATGAAGTCATGTGAGAGTGCTTATGGGAAAACCCCAAGAAAACAAGACAAACCTCAATTTCTTCAAAACACAGAATTGTTCTTGGAATGTATTTTCATGCTCCTCCCAGGTGTAGCAGGTAGGAGTAAGTTTACTTCAGCTGTTGTTATTCATATGCATGGAAAAACATGTTCTTGCCATGTATGGCTTGTCCTTATGATTGCACATTACTTATGTGATTCTTCTTACCTTTCAAGAATATAAATTATTAGATGGTCTGAATAAATTGGCTATTGCATGAAACTTCAGACCATTTCATTTTTAGACCCCATTCTCCCAGATTCATGCCACCAACTAGAGTAATAAACAGTCTATGCATTTATATGTATCTGTGTGTCTGGACATACATGCATATAAGGACACATGCAAGCGGAGGCGAAGGTTTAATGGTTGTCTTCCTCAATCATGTCTGCATCTCAGTTTTTGACACAGGATCTTTCATTGAACCTGGAAGTCACCAATTTGGTTAGGCTAGCAGGCTAGCAAACCCTAGGATCCACCACCATAGCCCTGGAGTTACAGGTTTCCATTCCCAGCTTTTACCTGAGTTCTAGGCATCCAAACTTAGGTCCTTGTGTTTATGTGACAAGCATTATCAAGTAAGCCATCTCTCTAGTCTTTATTCTTTAAATCACAAAATATATGATACTGAAGATATTTCAAGTTTCCACCCCTGAAAATGTCACAAAGATAACAAAGAAAACTCTACGTACCCATAAAGAGACCATAGTTTTTAAATATATTCTAAAAACTAAGTGGTTCAGTAAGTTATATGGATGAGTTGAGGAAAAGACATGTTCCAGAAGTGGGAGGGAGATCAGAAAGGAGAATGCAAGGATGAATATGATCAAAATGTGTTAAATACATATATCAAATTGTTACAGAATAAAATTAATTTCTAAAAATATCCCATGGAGTTCTTTGGTAATGTGATTATTAATGTTTAAATATCTAAGGGCTTTTCCCTTTTCAGTTCATAACCATTTAACCACTGTCTTAATGGCTATCCACTTACATAATAACTAAAATGTTTTATGCCAATATAATCATAGAACAAAGTCCTTAGCTTGGTAAATTTGTTATATTAATTTTCCTACATATATAAAAGATCTAAAGAGGAAAATGCTCAGAATTTGCTTGAGGAAATGCTAGAAGATAACCTAGAAACACAAACAGAATTCTACAGGAGATCCTCTACCTACAAAATTCAGTGTTTCTTTCCTGAAGTCCTGAGCTGTCCATACGCACACACTGTTGCTTCTGAATTAGAGGATTACATCTAAAATCATTCTGTAGGAGAAAAATGGTGACATTTTATGATGTTAAACTGGAAGTATGAACAACAGTACAAGCTAAAGTTCTCTAGAATCAATGTTCATTCTTATATATTTTTGGCAAATCTATGTAACTCACTACTACTGAAAAGAACCAAGCATGCATCAAGAGAGTAGCTGTGGAGTAGGATCTGAGGTGCTGGTGTCAGTTATAAGGACTGACTGCACCATACCTCCTGAGTTAAGGGGCTCCCTGTGTACCAACCATCTTCTTGCCCTCAGCCAAGGACATATTCCTCCTTACCCCTATGTACACTTGGGGATCTTGTAATCCACCACTTCACTCCATATAGATGTCAAAGAAAGGGGGAAAATTAGCTTTTCTAAGACTTTCAAAGAGGTAATTTCAAAATCAACCAAAACACCGAAAAAATTAATTCTATATTCTATATTCCATGTATTATAAACTCAAATCTAAATCTATATTATTAAGAAACTTAAGCTTTAACTTCTTAAAATGGACTCTAAATCAAGATTCGTGGCTGGTCTATCCCATGATTTTATAAATATCTAATTTATACTTTAAAGGAAAGTTTGAAGTTATTTTAATATTTTATTATTTTAATATTACAGAAATAAAGTGTTTACTTGGTGTAAATATAAACAATTTCAAGAGAACTTCACAATTTAAAATTAGTAAACATATGTAAAACACCAGAGCCTATTTTAGTTTAAAAAAACAAAAGGAAAGGAAGACAGGTAGACAGACAGATATACAGATAAACAATACACCCCCCCCAAAAAGAAACCCTACCAAGCAAGAGAGCTTGTACCTACAATCCCAGAACTTGGGAGTAGAATCAGAATTACACTAAGTTCATGGCCAGCCAGTATGGACTACATGCTAAGTTCCACACTATCCTATGTTACAGAACAAAATCCTGTCTCAGAAAGCAAAGCAAAGCAAATCTCTTCCAGGTAAATAGAATGGCAGTCTATACCAGCAGTTATAACCATGATGCATATGGACACTAAACCAAGACATGTATCCAGTCTGCTCTTCCACAGGAGAAAGCCTTTTGCAGAAGGTTTACTTTCCATGTGACCCTCTAGTACATTAATCTGAAAAATAAAGTGTCATTACTTGAGTAACTTTTATTTTCTGATACAGACATCCAAGAAAATGTGAAAGCTCAGCCAGGCGGTGCTATCACACGCCTTTGATCCCAGCACTTGGAAAGCAGAGGTAGGTGAGTTCAAGGCCAGCCTGGCCTAAATAGTGAGTACCAGGCCAGAGCTGTTTTTACACAGAAAACCCTGTCTCAAAAAACAAAAAAACAAAACAAAACAAATCAACAACAACAAAAAAGTAAACAATGCATAAAAATGTAAGGGTCACAACTGAATTCTAAACTTCCTATAAAAATCTTTTTATAAAGAAAGTACAGAAAATACTAGCACTAAGCTCCAAATCATCAGCATAAAAGCATATTGTCACATGCTGGAGGAGGAAAAAAGGATATTCTCATCAACTAGTCAATGAGATACAAACCAGTGTCTATCTATAGAGTCACAACATAATTCAGTCATGAACAATATACCTATCATACACAAGGGAAAAAAATCTTCTCAATGTATGCTCATTTAACAAAATTCCTCAACCAAAACTTTTTTTCAAGTCAGCATTCTATTGTATATACTTTTTTTTTTATGTCAGGAGAGAACATTTAAACAAACAGCACCCCTTCCCCAAAGAAAAGCAAGAAAAGAAAAACACTATGCCTGAGGACATTTAATAAGAGAACAATTAAAAGTAATTTTTTAAATTACTAAATAACAATTCTACTATGGCATCTATGTTTTTTGTTTTTTTAAGGTGGGAAATTAAACTTAGTTTTATAGAAACTTTATAACTTTATAAAAATATCTAGGAAATATATAAGTTCATAGTCACAGTAGCCTCCAACTGTGAACACTTGTCAAACTAATTCCTTAAGACATATAAACTAGCCACAAGACATTCAATTCCCAATGTTGGAAACCCTAACTCAGAAAACAGTGACAAAGGAGAGGAACCCAGTGAAGCAGTCGTGTTTAGTGACACCCAAGGCTTTATCTACCCACTGAGTTGAGCCGAGGATACTCCGGAGGGCCTCTACTTTGCTCACGCTCTCCTTGCACAAAAGACAGGAAAGAGTAGAAGCATTTCAGCCCACCATAATACAGCTAGCACCACTCTAGCATCTAAAGTAACCCAAACATCCTTCTTGTTTTCATACTTAATCTAGCAAGTTCCATTCTCCACAGAGGAGTCAATGAGATTTTCTTTTCTTCTTTTTTTTGAAATATAAACCCAATGTCCCCCTTCACCAATTAAAAAAAAAACACACACACAAAAAAAATCAATAGGATTAACATGCCGTTAATCCCAGCACTTGTGAGGAAGAGGCAGGTAGATCTCTAAATCTGGTTTACAAAATGAGTGTCAGGCCAGCCAGGCCTACTTAATGAGACCTGTCTCAAAAAAACCAAACAGGCTGGAGAGATGGTTGGGTTCCCAGGACCCACATGGCAGCTCACAACCCACAGAACTACAGTTAGAAGGATCTGACACTCTCTTCTGACCCAGTGGGTACTGCATGTACATACATGCTGGTAAAACTCAAACACATAAAATAAAAATGAATAAATTTTTAAAGAAAAAAAAAAGACCTTTTCAACGGTTTTCAATTCTCCTAAGCCTCAAACATCAGCACAGAAGACATGCTGCAATTGTCACCTAGTTGATGCTTACTCTGTACCTTCAAGTTATATCCTTAGACTCAGTAAAAACACATAGCACCCCAGTTTTCTATTGGGGAAGCTGTCTGTGTCCTGAAGAGTATTTCCAGCACCCAGTTTCTCCCTGCAGTACCCCAGTACCAATAGGTGCTGAAACTTTCTCCACGCATTGCTCTAAACAAGCATGCTCAGTGCGCTTCCTGCATTTCCTGTCTTATTCCTTAGACCTGAAATACTAATTAGCCCCAAAAATTAGGCCGCACAGCTGGCTCCTTACCACTGTCCCCTCAGCATAAGTTGGCTTATTCAAAGAAGCTCACCTAACTGCCCTGCAAAAGTTGCACCACTTCCAGTCTATCTTCATAAAGACACTGTTGTATGCATGCACAGATGCCAGTGTTTATGGGGAAGCTGCTTATTGGCAGGACTGTGGAATTTAATACACAAAGCCGTAGCAGCACAACTAACTAGATATTCTTCTGTACTGTATGTGACTGGCCTGTTCTAATGTACCATTAATTTTTTCCTCTGGAAACACTGATCACACTTCTGTCAGTTATAGAGATCTACATTTGCTCCCTGTACTTTTAACAGGAAAAGTCTCAATCTAGAATACTCTTCAGTGTGATACAATTACATGATCTATTCCAAGAGTTTAACAGCCAACCAACAGTTAAACTAGCTGTTCAAAAAAGGAATCACCACTTGCTCTATCTAGTACACCAAGGGATTACCATTATGTTCACTTTTTAGAGGGAATACAAAAAGATAATAATCTCAGTCTTAAAAATAAAAGGACAGGAAAAACATATGACTCTGGATACTTCAAAAGCAAGACACTTATAATGAACAAACTTGACCATGGAATTTGAGTTAATCAATATGTTTCTAGTGTCTTCTTGTGAACAGATACAATGAAGTCTGGTTAACCTTACACTTTAGACATCTTGCAGAACTGGAGAGGAATCTGCAGTCCAGCTGTGTCCACTCAACTCCAAGAAACCTACATTTGTTTTTGTCACAAGGACCTTTTCAGTTACAGCTGAAGCAATTTGTGATATCAGTAGTTTAAACCTTTTTTAAGACCATGAGTGCAGATCATCTCTTTAAAGTTACTGAGTCTTTGCTCTATATTAGCAATGTGTGTGTAGACCTTTGTCTAAAATCACCAATAGCTCAATAGAATATTTGCATAAGAGCCCTTAGGATAAAAATGTGAGAGCTAGCAGAGCAATGCCCAGGTGAGAGATTCCAAGGCATACCAGTTGTGCACCATGAGCTTCTGCACGGCCAGCAGAGCATTGTAGCGGACCTGCTGGTCTTCATGGTGCATGTGGTTCATCACCAGCTGCTTTCCACCGAGCTGCTCAATAACCCTGCAGAACAGAAAAGACTTGTGAGGATGTCATTTCTTTCAAATTGATGCTAGTCACAAGTGAAGAGTCCAAGTATCAAATGCCCAAATGATTTCCAAAACCAAAGTTACAACTAACTGAAGTAAGCTAGGATTACATCTCACGTCACTCTTATTGAACTGCAGACTGTGGTGGTTGAAGGTGATCAGTCTGTCTGTACAGGTTTATGAATCTGCAGCTGATGAAACTATTTGGGTAAGAATAAGAAGTATATCGCTGGGGGCAGGATTGAGATTTCAAAAGACTTGTGCCATTCCCAGTATACTCTCTCTGCCTACAGCCTGTAGTTTGGGGACGTGAGGTCTCACCTGTGTCTTCCCTATACCATCATGGGACTCTAAACCTCTGAAATAGTGAGTCCAATTAAACGCTTTCTTTTATAAGATCATGATGTTGTATCACAACAACAGACATGTAAGAGACACAAAGACCTAAAGATTTGAATGTTTTCCTTAAATTCCTAGTGTTCAATCCGACTGATAACTCATTTTTTAATCTATCATCTACCTGGGTACAACCCTCAATTCTAGGTAGCTGAGTATTACTTTACAACCAGTATTTCTAGCATGCAGTCAGTACTGAATTCCAATTAAGTTAACAAGATCAATATCAAGTCCATCAGTGATTACATTATCTCATAAATACAGGTTTAGACTCAGATAACAAAGGACAGAGGATAAAGAGCACTCAAGTTAATTTCCTGGTTAGACTTAATTTGAATAAAGCTGCTCGTTTCTCATAATGATAGAATATGTCACATGCTATAAACGAAAAAGTCAATCTTCAGGAGCATGAAGACAGTTGACAATCACACTACTTTCTCTTCTAACACCATATCCCTAACAACCAAGTCCACTTAGTACAGACACAAATATTATATGAAAGTGGTCACTTGCTTCAAGAATCTGTTCTCTACAACAATATCAATACAAATAGAGCTTTGCAATTTCCTAACTCCAGCCCAGGTGTATGGATTTTCCTGTCCATTCTTCATCCATCAGTACTGTCCAGTGTCATGCCTGCTACTTATCAATGTCATATGACATCCTAATGCCATAGGGCATTTGGTGCTTTAAGACAACCTCACAGGCTTCCTGAACCAGTCAGGAATGGAAGGGTGGAAGTACATCAAAACATTAAACATCTAGTGCCTACAATATGTCAGGCATTATATTTTGAAATAGTATCTGTTATGTCAGCTCAGCTCCGCTACTAGCCAGACATATTATTACATTCAGCAGATCATTTACAATAATTGCCAAATATGGAGAATAAGCATAAATCCATTACAGAGTTACTGTGATGATCCAAAGACACAAAATCTATGACCTTTAGTGCAGTAAGCCCTGCTGCTTGGCCAATAATGGTAGGGGCTGTTCCTGCTCAATCCAGTCTCCTCCCTGTCATCAAAGCAACAATTGCAAAACCCTAAATATCATTTCCACCACTCAAGCCAGTTAAGTGACTCCCCTCTTTAACAAAGGTCCTCTGGGCCCTGAGCTCATGATCAGCAGTAAGTACAATTAGTCTAGCCTGAAAGCGGCTTACCTAACACGTGACCCAGTGTCATTCCCTTAAACTTGGAACCCTACACAGCATTTCAGCACCATACTGATGAGCTATTTTAAACAGCAAAATTCAAAAACAAAAAAGGAGACACAAGATGCAAGCACGGCACTGAACAGACCATGGAAATAACACTTCTTTGTAGTAGAAGAGTGAGAACAAGAAGGCAGAACCCAGCTGTGTTCTACCATAGCTGTCAATGTGTCCATCAAGGATTCAATGTTTTCATTGATTCTAGACATGTTCATGAATTATTTGCATGAGCTTTAAAATGGTGTAATTTTAGCAAGTAAGCAAATTCACTAGTTTGGAATCCACAATGAAAATCAGCATACTTCAGGAAGTTGTCACATTATAGGTACAATATAACTGATGATCATAATACTAATGCAGGCACTTCTATTATATAGGGCACTGCATTGACAGTCAATTGAATCTTCTATAATCCTCACAATAAACACACTTTTGAGGATTAATCTGTTTCTCTTATAAAGAAAAGCAACATTACATTTAAAAACTTAAAACTTTTGAACAAGTCTCTAACCAGAAAGTTTTTTTTCTCAGCACAAAAGTAGTAGAAGGAAGCACTTCGTGTAGGTTTCAGTGAAGGGCTCAGTGAAACAGTGTTCAGAGAATGCCCAGGACAAACGCAACTCAAGAGAGTACTCATGATTTAACACTTTCACTATTACTGACTGATGGATGATAAAAACTATAATTGTAATGTTTGATATAATGTAAATATCAGGCTTTAATGATGTTTGTTTTCAATGCAACAGTTGACATTCCTAAACTATGTTAAATACCAAAATATAAGTTAAAGACAGCCGTTGCCATGTTTTCCTTCCTATGTGGATTAAAAAGAAAGGGTGATGCTTCCTGCTACTGCAGGAGGGGGTTATGAAAATTATATTCTCACACACCACTGGTTGGAAGTCTGAATTAGTTTGTATATAATAATGTCTTTAAAACCTCATGAAAACTCACATTTTAGCTCCTTATGTCTATTTCAAGGGATGGCAGAAAGTAATCAGAATGTGAAGTGATTCACTCTGTTTTCACAACAATGAAAACTCAGAACCAAACAAATGCCAGTTTAAAAAAAATGTAAAAGAAAGTGATAAAGCATGAGCTATGCCGTGCAGGTTTCCACAGGACACAGATACATGTGAGGAAGTCACTGGCTGTGTCTATGGTGTTAAAGGCACTGCTGCTGCAACTCTGCAGTTTTCATGCTTTCTATAACGAGCATCTATACTGGCCAAACTATAATGTATAAGAAAAATCGGGTTTGCTGTATAAAAATTGTGTGCAACTATGAAAATAATTTATTTGCATGTGCTATGCTAAACTTTGTATGAAGAGCTGTTTGCCTGATGTAAATTCTATTTCTTAAGAGAGCAAGCATGAGTTCTCTGGATAAGGTTCTTGGGTTGAATTATGCTCTACTGCCTGGTGAACACTGGTCCTCATCAGATACTCATTTTCACAAGTTTCAATCCTATAAGGAACAGAACCAGGTCATCACTGCTATACAATGAAGATATATACCAAGGACCTGGACATTAGTGTTTCACTTTCCAGGCAGTATATGGTGATTTACCAGATTTTTAAAATAATCTTATATATCCACAGCTATTTCTATTCACTCTAGCTCTGAGCAACAGCAGAATGCCCAAGATGGAAAACTTCCAGTTTTTTATTTGAGCATCCTTGAAAATTCCAGGACTGGCAGAGCAGTGAGCAGCCGGTTAAAGCTTGTGCAGGCCCTGCCCCAGAAAGCAATGCCCAGACCTGGCTCTGAGTAATGGCAGGATGTCTAAGATGGAGAATGGTTCATTTTCTGGATTGGACCTCCTTGAAAAATGTTTATGGTCCATGCTGCTGCCAGAGGCCATGTTGCTATATGTGGTCCATATTACTGCCAGGGCCAGTTGCTACCAAAAGTCTATTGGTGCTGCACGCTAGAGGCCATGTCGATGTCCATGATCTCCATTTTCCTGCCAGAGGCCATGTTAATATTCATGGTCCAGGTTCATGTCTGTGGTTTGTGTTCCTCCTGGAGGCCATGTTAATGTTTGACGCCATATTGGTTTCTCTGGTCTGGGGGCCAAGTTAATTTTGTCTGTGATACTTTTTCTGAAGCCATACTAACACCTTGTCAAGAGCCTGAAAGGGTGCACAAATTGATGGCACACTTTTCCATTAAACAGACAATACTCACTACGCCACTATGATTGGAGGACTAGTTATGTGCAACGGCTACTGCTGTGTGGATGAAGGGATTCCTAGTATTGAAAGGGTCACAAGTGTAAATATGACCAATCTACTATTTGAATGTCTTGAGGACATTCTACAGGAGGTGGAAGCCAGAGATGGAAATGGGCCTTGCTAAGCACATGCTCTGCCACTAAATCCCACAGCCCAATGACAATTATTAAATTTGTAATTTGAGATCAATAACTGCCTGCTATGCTTTCTATATAAATTCACAAAACAGGCTACTGATTTAAAAGTATACCTTTTAACTACAAAAGCAGCTATGAAAATAGCATACATATACCGAGAACACCAAGAAAACAAGCCCCTCTAAATCAACATGATCAAAGCTCATATGAACTCACAGAGACCAAGGCAGCATGCATAGGTCTGCACCAGGTCTTTTGTGTATATATGATGGCTTCCAGTTTAGTGTTTTCATAGGATTCCCGGGTGTACCAAAGAGTGAGTCTCTGTTTCTGTGCTTTGTCTTGGGCTCTCTTCCTTCTGTTTGCTTGTGTTGTCCAATTACAGTATGTTAGTTTCTGTTTTATCTTATTATACTTTATTATTATCCTTCAGAAGCCTGCTAGCTTTCTAGTGACAGAAAAGGAATAGACCCAAGTGGGAGGAAAAATGAGGAAGAACAGGGAGGAATACAGGGACAGGAAACTGTCATCAGGATATATTGTGTGAGAAAGTAATCTATTTTCAATAAAAGGGAAAAAATTCTTAAAGAAAATATCCATCATATAAAACAGGAGTAAACAGCAATCTGTGCTGGCACCTCTTAGGAACACTGAAGGCTGCTTGAAGGGTTAGGAAGCATGAAGCTGGATCTTTCCAATCAGACATATGATTGAGTCCCTCTCTCTCCTTCTTTTTGTCTTTTTCTGAATTGAGACTCTCAAAAATTCAAGATCTTTTATGGTATTCTTTTCACTGAACCAGCAAAAAATGTCCACTGCTTGTCTTTTATGGGTATCTAATACATGAGATAGCATTATTTTTGGTAATAACTACTGTTGTTTCATGGTTGTGATTTTAGCAGTTCTGATTACCTTAATAAGTTAAGCCTATCATCCAAATATCATCATCAAATATGAGATACCAAAGCAATTTTCTAAGATTGCAGTAAAATGGATATAATATGAAAGACTATTCTACATCTTAAAAGATTATTTGTAAGGAAAAGAATGAGGACAAGAGAAAAAAGATACAGAGACTTCGTCTGACATAAGGAAGTGCTCTGCATTGCTGAATGCAAATAGAAAGTTAGAGAACTTTCTGCCAACGTTCTTCACCAGGAGACATTGGGCACATGCCAGTCCACTGTGTGACTAATAAGGTACTAAAAACGTTCAGACTCTACTTTGCCAAATAATTATATCCACTGTTCTGGTCAATATGTCTAAGTACATTTATTATATAACCACACCTCAATGTTTTGAAATGTGAATTATATTAGTACATATCTACTATAACTTCTGTGCTTTATAATTTGCCAGTGTCAACCTCTAATTCATTTCCATAATTATGAGTAATAGGGAAAACACAGTGTTCATAAAATGGCTATAGAATTAAATTTTGCAAACAAAGGAAACTTTTAATGAGAAATCTCTAATACTCTCACTGACAATTATACCAAAGTACTAATGCAAGTGTATTTATATTTTTATAGTACTCATTTTTAATTGAGCTCATTTACTTGATTAGCTTCTCTACTAAACTACTCTGATTTGGAAAAGAACTTTGGATTGTTTCAAGAAACCAAAATGAAACATAGGTTTAACTTTCTCTTTTACCGTTTGCCCCGAGGATAATGTCGAACATATTCTCCAACATCATGAGCAGCAACAGCTAAGACTTGTGGATCATCTGATACCTCTAGAAGTTTTGTCAAGATTCTGAAATAAATTTAATCCAGAAATATCAAGCTGTGTTTTCTTCTACAGAGTACAATATAACATACATATAATACAGATATCTTACTCAAAGCAGATTCTAGGGATTTCACCAATATATCAACATTAGCGCTTTTCAAACCTTTGTATATAAAGGTTACCCACAGCTTTATAAGCAATGCCATTAACATACAAGTCCCCAAACATAACCTGAGACTAGATAGGCCATGGGCCTAGGGAAAAAACTACTACTATTACTCTAAGGGAAGATAGCAATAAAATGAGTCCTAGTAACACACTGCTATACTAGTACATCAGTGCCTCACACGACCGCATCAGAGACGCTTCTTTCAGCAGTAGATGGAAATTAATACAGAGACCCACAACTGGACAGTGTGCAGAGAGTGAGAGACTTTGGAGCATGCAGCCCTAAGTGGGATGTCTTCATCAAACCCCTCTCCTCAAGGCTCAGGAATCTATGGGGAAGAGGTGGCTGAAAGATTGAAAGAAACAGAGGTGACGTGACTCCAATCATGTATTCCAGACACAGCAGGACTAAAGTCCATGTGAACTCACATAGACTGTAGCAACGTAAGACCTGTACAGTTATAAGTCAGACAGGGTACCAGCAATGAGAGGTAGGAGTATACAAGGAGTCCCACCCCTAACCAAGAAGCTAACTGAAACTCTTGGCAAAGGGAAAAATTAGTTTTCTCCCCAACATGTTCTAGGTCATGTCTTTATCACAACAATAGAACATAGCTAAGATAGACAGACTGACACACACACACTTTTTAAAGTCTTCTATTTTTTTTAAGATGCTCAAGTATTATTATCCCTAAATTGTTTGTTTTTGGTTTCTCGAGACAGTGTTTCTCTGCATTGTTTTGGAATACCAGGCTGGCCTTGAACTCACAGAGATCCACCTGCCTCTGCCTCCCGAGTGCTGGGATTAAAGGCGTGTGCCACCAACACCCAGCTAAGGAAGAATACATTAATTGGTTGTCCAATGCCAAACAGTCAACCATGAAAATATACATGCAAGTAACATTATAAAGACTGAACAGGTTATATTTAGAAATATATATCTATATACTTATAGGCTTGCATAACAATTATTGTTATAACTAATACAATTATATTATATGTTATATTATAATATATATTAAAGAGGTCATGAATTTGAAAGAGAGTGGGAGTTGTATATGGGAGGATTTGAAGAGAGGAGTAGAGGGATGCAATTATATCATAATCCAAATAAAATAACATGTTTTTTAAAGAGATGGCTCAGTGGTTAAGAGCACTTACTGCTCTTGCAGATGACTGGGATTTGGTTCCCAGCTCTCACCCACATAGTGACTCACAAGTGTCTGTAATTCTAGTTTCAGGGGATCTGAACCTAACCTCCACAGGGTCCTGAATGCACATGACTATATAAGCACACACTCAGGCACACAAACATACAAATAAATGAATAAGTATTTTAAAAATAAAATATTTAATAGAAAACAGTTAAAACCATTTAGTTTTTTATTGCATATAAACCACTTGCTCACAAAATATAAGCCTTCTAAAAATTGCTAAATCCATTCTTAAAAAATAGTATGCATGGAACAAATTGTCAGCAAGCAGTTAACCATGGCAGTTGTACAACTGCTGCTATGTCTAATGAAACATGCAACTGAGGATGGTGTGAAGGAATTGCAATGGAAAAACATATACGCTATCATCCTCCACTTCATCCTCTGATTTGGTAGGTAAAATGGATAAAAGAGGATGAGATAGAGGCACTATCTTACCATTTCCTAGAGCTGAAGACTACTGGGAAACCAAAAAGGAAAGGGTACCCATTAGATATGTGCTCAAGAACTCCCAGGCTAAAATCCAAAAAACATGGAACCCACTGGAAGAATTGAATACAGAAGGGGAGAAAATAAAGTAGAAGTGACAGAAGATAGCCTTCAGGTATAACCTTTAATACAGAAAGGAAAACCCATGATTCTCCTTGCAGGTGAAGACTTAACAATGGCCCAGTACAGGAAACCATGACGGAAAATTTTTGCCTCTAAAGTGCTTGATTTGGCAAAGTCTGTAAAACAAGAATGAACAGAACCTAAGGCTAGCTAGTAAAACCATGGGACAGGGGAAGAAATGATAGTTTTTATCTGTGCACTGTGAAAGCAGAGAAAATAAGCATTGTAACTATTCATCCTTTCCTGAGACCACGGTTCACTGACCATAATAAATATACCACACTGATGTAAATAGGAAATTAGTTGGATGAGGTGGCATATACCTGTATCCTAGCACTTGTGAGGCTAAAAGAGGCTCTCAAGTTCAAGGTTGGTCAGAACTATACAAGACCCTGTATTAAAAATACAGAACATGCTAGCATAAGATGTGTGCTGAGAGTGAAGAAACCATATGAGGACATTCTCATTAAAAAGGTTACAGAAAATTAAGCACAAAGAGTGTCCGCATGTACTCTCTTCACCCTCAGTACACATCTTATACTAGAAGGGGAAGGGAGAAGTAGAAGGAACGAGAGGAAAAGATTTGGGTACATCTTCATAACCTGAGTTTGACAATAAATTCTTTGTTATGGAACCAAAAGTAGAAGGAACTGCAGAAAAGTTAAAAGTGGACTTGATCTTAAAATTTTAAAAGGACAGTATCGAGACAATCAGAAGGCAGCATACAAAATTAGACAAATATTTCCAACCCAGTCTGATGCAGATTTGCATCCACAAAGCACAGATGCCCCCAACTCCAAGGACCAACTCACATTTGAGCTTTTAATTACAGCCTTTGTCAGGCCATCAACTTGCACTATGGTTTCCCATGTGAGATGGGACAGACAGCCGTAGCATTCAGATCATCACAGGGTAACCATCTGGCAGTCAACAGTACACTGTGTTACTAAGCTATGTTGCCTTAGGTTAAGTGTATTAAATGAATTTTCACCATGCAATGTGCTGTCAATATGTAATCCCAGTGTAAGGTAAGGAGAACCTGTATAAAAAAACCCTTACAACTAAATACCAAAAAGGCAACTCAAACAAACAACAACCAAAAACAAAAACAAAAAACCCCAGGAGCCAAGAGGTAAATAGGTGTATTTACTTAAAAGATAGACAAAAGATCAGTAAGAATAAGACAAGATATTTGAGATAATTAACCATCAGGAAATACAACAATAAAACCCAGTGTGTGGGGGTGGGGGGTGGGGAGTAACAGTGGAATATCATTACCTACCCTAAGATAATTAAAGTCAAAAGGCACAAATCCTAGTAATTATGTCTTGTACAGCAGTACAGAGTTTGCCTAGTGTGGATGATGCCATGGTTCAATCCCCAATCTTGGCTAAAAGGCACAGAAATTAAAACCATACAGCCACTTTGAAAACTAGCTTGGCAAAGAGTTAAACACAGTTACCATGGCTCAGCATTCCAATAGTAGGCTAGAATGCTGACCACATAAGAAGAGAGTGGGCTGAACATAGCATTCATGCCTCTTTGCTTCTCTGCCTGTTTTGTCTACATGCATGCTGGTGCCTACCAGAAGAAGGCAGTGAGTTCTCCTGAACTGGAGTTACAGACGGTGCTTCCATGTAGGTGCTGGGAATCAATTCTGGGTCCTCTGGAAGAGTAGCAAGTGCTCTTAACCACTGAACCAGCTCCAAGCTCCCAGTCGCGCCCCCCTCTTACTTCTAGACTGCAGATGCAGTATGACTACCTCAAGCAAAAGATACAAAAAATACGATGCTCCCCCATCAACTTATACAGTAAGGATTATTGGTGGGATCACTGTTCATAATCAAAGGCGGAAAGAACTCAACTGTCTATGAATTTGTGAGTCATAACAGCACATGTTCTTATATGTACACTGGAGTACTACTATTCATCCATATGAAGCAAAACAGTACTCATAAACACTGCAACATGGATGAACTATGGATACAGGGTAAGTGAAAGATACCAGTGTCAAACGGACAAAAACAATGTGAATGTGGGAAAGAGAGCTGTACAAAGGTGGTCGATGAGGTAGAGATGAGATGGGAAAAAAAAAAAGGGTGAGGGTGACAGCAACCACAATGCACTATCTATGTACAAAATTGGTCATAAATTAATAAATGAAATTTTGTTTGCTTTTTTGAGACAGGGTTCTCTGTGCAGCCCTGGCTATCGTGAACTTCCTTCAGAGACCAAGGTGGTCTCCAACTCCTAGATGCTGGGATTAAAGGTATGAACTACTATCACTGGATTAAAAAAACATTTTAAGACAAATGCATTATTACATTTAAATAGAGAATTTCTTTAAAATGGGAAAATTCATAGAACATAAAGCAGATGAAAGACTTTAAATTCAAACAAATGAGTTGGGATTTCTTTTTGAAATGATGAAAATGTTGCAAAATTAGCAGTTTTGGTAGTTGTACACAATTGTAAATACACTAAAAATTACTGAAGTGTATATTTTAAATAGATTAAGTATGTGGTACATAAATATCTCACTACAAAAGGAAGGTGTACACATTTAGTCATCTTATCATGACAAGAAAGAACTGCAGAACCCAAAAGGAAATGCTATTTTTGTTTTTTAATTTTGTGTACATACATGCACAGAGGCCAGAGAAGGCCGTCAAGTGTCTTTATCATTCTCTGTCTTAGGCCCTTGAGACAAAGACTCTCACTGAACATGGAACTTGCCAATTTTTGTTGTTGTTGTTGTTGTTGCTGTTAGGGTAGCTGGTAGTAAGCCTTGGGGATCGTCCTGTCTCTGATCCACTGCACTGGAGATTACAGGAGCATTAACACCATACCCAGCTTTTTATGTAAGGGCTAGGAATCCTAATGATTGTGCAGCAAGCATCACTCTTACCCACTGAGCCATATCCCAAACCTAGGAGTGCTATTTTCAATTAAATACCCTGTAAAGAGAGGAAGAATGAATTTGACTCCTACTTCACAGTTAAACCCCAGACAGACTACAGATCTAAATATAAAGTTAAACAAGAAAATTTCTATAAATAGAATATAAAGATAACTTCATAGTGTATATAGCATCTAATAGTTGTTTCAATGTAGAAACTGTTACATATTTGAGATTTATTCATTGCCATAGCAGACTTGGAAACACTATTTAGTAAGGCTCTTCCAAAGAAGAAAGGAAGAGCAGGCAGACAGAAAATAACATACACCTGTAATCCCAGCATGTGGGAGGCCAAGTCAGAGGATTGCCAGGAGTTCCAGGTCAAATCTGGGCTACAAAGTGAGTTCCCACATCAAATTTATATACATATGAAAGGAGGTAAAAAAAAAAAAAGAAAGAAAACTTAACAAATAAAAGATGGAATACAGCCTAGTGAGTACAGCATTTGCCTGGTTTGTCTATGACCTAGGTTTAATCTCAGTACCACAAAAAAAAAGATCAAAATTAAAAAATACAAGGATATCCTTGGTTAGGCAAAATCTTAACCAAGACATAGAAAAGCACTAGCCATAAACAGAAATATTAGTAGCTTGAGTCTCTTAAAGTTAAAAAGCTTATGCTATCAAGGACACGAATAAAGAGTAAAATGGCATCAAACAAAATGGGATAGAATAGTCTCAATGAATAATTTTTAAAAAAATCATGTTCAAAATACCAAATTCCCAGAAAATAAAAGAACTCACCAAATTAAGTATGCCCTTTCCAAGAGAAGATGACATCTAATTGATCAAAAGCATAAAAGGCATTCAACACATAATTCAACAAGAAAACAGACTAAAACCACAGAAGACCTAATTCTTGGCGAGTAACAAAGCCAAATGTTGATGAGGATCTGAATAATTAAACAGCACAATATTCAATCCAAACTTACTTCAAGAGTTCATAGTTCTTCTCATTCAACCTCACAGCATTCTCTCTCCAGAATTTCTCAGACTTGTGTACAGGACTCCATTCCAACCTTCCAGATTTAAGCTCTGAACTGTATTCATCAAATGAACTATAAAATTATAAAAATAAATTCCAGTTGTAAGAATTTGAGAGTTACTCCAAAATTAAACGAATTAAAATGTGACTTAATATCAAAGACTGAAGCTAGCTTGATGACACACACCTCTGAGCCCAGTACTCAGGAGGCAGAGGAAGACAGATCTCTGTTAATTCAAGATCAGCCTGATCTACATATCCAATTCTAGGTCAACCAAGACTACATATCGAGACTATCTCAAAAAATAACAAAAATAACAACTATAAACAGTGACTGTCCTCTATATATTAACTACTACTATAAGTTTAATAAGTTTAATCTCCTACAAATCATAGGAACTAAGACCCAACACTGCCAAAATTGAATGGTGTGATTAAAATCATTATTTGTTCCCAAAATCTTTATTCCCAATAAAAATATGAATGTGTATTAGTGGGAAAAATGACAATTTCTACCATGATAGTCAAAGCAATGTAATTTGCCAGGTCAGTAGATATTATTGTTGAACATAGGTAAAAAGCAGACTCTTAAAGTAAAACAGCATACCCTACTAGATCACAAAAACAAAACTTTTGTATATCCACATAAATTTTAAGTATGACTACTAACAATATAATTTATTTTAAAAATATCTTTCAAAATTAAGAGCAAAAATCTATATATATTAGCAAACTCAATATTTCAACAATCAGTAACTATATGTACAGTAGCTTGGTTGTTTTAAATGTGGTTTAGTTACTGTGAGTTGATCTGCCAACTTGATGAAATCTAGAATAAACTGAGACATGCCTCTGGCCATGGCTTATCTCGATTGGGTTCATTGAAGTCTGTGGTTTGAATGTGAAATGGCCCGTGGAGGCTCATTTTTGAAAACTTGGTCCCTAGATGATGGTGCTGTTTGAGATGACTGTGGAATGTTTAGGAGGTGAGTCTTGTTGGAGGAAGTGGGTTACTAAGGATGACAGACTCAATTTCCTGTACACTCTCTTCTTTCTGAGTGAAGATGTAATGTGACAAGCCAGACTCCTGCTGCAGCCACCACAGCTGTAAGCTAACATAAATACTTTTTCCCTTAAGCTGCTTTTTGTCAGGCTATTTTATTATTTTACCATAGCAACAAAAAGCAATGAAGACAAGGCACAAAGACGTACCCATTTTAAATAAGTGGCACTATTCCCTAGGCTGGGATCCTGGAGTGTGTAAGAAGATGACCTGAGCACAAGCACCCATCCTTCCCTATTTCCTGACTGCAGATGCAGTATGACAGCTGTCACAACTCCTGTCACTGTGGTTCCCCCCCCCCCAATAGAAGGCACACACTCTGGAACTGAATCAACATAAACCTTTCTCCCTTAAGTTACTTGCGAGGGGACTCCAACACAGGAACTGACAGGACAGCCTGACTCCATCTTAAGCATGGAAGCCATTTATTATAAGGTCAGAATAAGTTCAGTTTGTTTGCTGCAGAATTCAAATTGACCATGCTTTACCCTCTTTCTAGAATCTGACATGCTCCCCATCCTATGGAGTTTGATTCACACCTTGAACATACCCTGATAAGATGTTCTGCCAAATAATTTTGAAATGTTCAGACAACTTCCTATGTAACCAAAATTCTCTGGAAATCCCCCAGCACTTGAAAATACCTAGCCTTGCTGGTTTGTTTGTTTGTTTTGTTTTTTGTTTTTTATATAAGCCTCACTTTTTCCTATGTTCAAAGTTATTTTTTTCAAACCCTTCTTTAGGGAGATAGCCCTGTCTATCAGAAAATAAGCTTGCTTCATTTGACCAGAGAATTTGGTTGATGATCTCTATCTCATTTGGTGGGATTCACTTTACTTTCATCCAGTGTGATTAACAGAATGAGAAAAAAACTAATAGAGTCACTTAACAGACAGTATCAATACATGCTTGGGCTTACTTTGAAGAACAGTTTTAAAAGATGTAAACATTAATGCTGACTAACAATTCAGCGTAATGAGGATATACAGGGTAAGTTGACCAGAAAATGTCCTGTTTAAAGTTACTTAATGTAGACAAGTAAACAAACATTTTTCATATTCATCCTAAACCTAATAATAAAAACAAATATAAGCCAGCTATATTCACCACCCAACTAGTGTTATGTAAAGAAAATGGTGGGAATCTCTCCAAATGCTCTAACCTATGGTTAACAATGTAGAATGTTTCATCAGAAAACAGCATATTGTTGGGAAATATGACTTCCATACTTTGTAATCAATTCAAATTTACTTTAAAAGAGATATAATACACTGTGAACATCTATAAATCCAGTCACTCAGGAGACTAAGGCAGGATCCCTTTGCCCAAGGTCAAACAAATCTCAATATATTCGGTATGTAGCAATTTTAAAAGGAGCATTAATGACAGACATGGTGGTATACACCTTTAATCCCAACAGAAGTGGGAAGAACTTGAGTTTGAGGCCAGTCTGGTCTACACAGTGAGTTCCAGGACAGCCAGGGCTACATAGTAAGACCCTATCTCAAATAATAATGATAATGATGATAACACACCTAAGGTCCTGGACACTCTCACCAAGTTTTTCCAAAAGAAATTTGATGTCTTCACTGATGTCTTCATCATCATACTTCTGCTGCTCCAAGTTCTCCAACTGTTTCAGGACTTTGCACTGAATCATAGCCAGAGCATATTCTTGGCGAGTTTCTCTTTCAGTTGATTTTTCTAGGAAATTCTGGGTTGGACAGAAACATAAAGAAAGTACATGATTTTTTTCAGACATCCACAGCTTTCTACACCTTCCAATACTTTTAAGTGGTGACTCTGTCTAGAATCCTTCTTTCCTGAGTTCTAATCAGAAGCCTATTTCTGAGTATGAAATACCTCTAGTTTAAATCTGGAATGTCCTCCAAAAGGTCAGTATTATAAAAGCTTAGCTGCTAGCCTGTAGTGTTTTTGTGATGTAGTAGAACTTTTAAGACATGAAATCTCCTTAAAGAAGTCAGACAAGTCACTGTCTCCAATACTCCACACTTCCCATATCCTCCTCTAGATCAACCCCGGTGAGTATCCTTGACCTCCCCATACATGCCTTTTCTTCAACCAGCTAGATCTAGCCAAGTCTAACTACCTGTGTACCAGGCTAGTCTGATGTCCCTAGCCTGTACCACAGCCGATCAGTAGGCTTCTACCACAATGCATCCTACCTGTACTCACTCACAGATCCCTTCAGCATTGCCACCAACCACCACTCAGTAGCTAGACTTCTCATGTCTTCCTCCCTTGCCTGCACAGCAAGTAAGCTCTAGGCTTTAGCCAGGATCCTCTCATACCCAGCCCCAAGCCACAGACATTCCCAAATTACACTCCACATTCCACGCTTGGAACAGGAGCACATTCCAATACCCCATCACCTGACTTCATTCTAATCAATCCATTTCCAGCCTCTAGACACAACCCACCAAAATATTTCTCTTCTGCCCCACCCAACCTGCTCTGTCCATAATAATTCAGAACTAGCAAAAGAGGTCCACATGCACAGAGTCAAGCTCTACAACTATAAACAATATAAAAGAGTAAGCAAATATCTTCTCTCCAAAGCCTACCAGTCTTGTAGAAATGCTTGCCAATGGTAATTATCTGGATGAATTCAAGGACACATAGTTAAAAGAACAATCATAAATCTTCCCAAAGATTTCAAAGAGTTTAAAGGCAACACAAAGGAACAGTTCAATGAAATCAAAGAGATAGAACTTGAGACTAAATATCTGAGTGATGCCCAAGAAAACACAAACATAAGTTTGACAAAAATAACAAAGACTAATCAAAGACTTGAGAATGGAATTCAGTTGGGAGACAGAAACACTAAAGATGGTTCAAGCTGAAATGAGGATGGAATTGAAAAACCCAACAGTTTAACTAGAAAGCTCAAAGTAAAATGAATCATGAGAAGATGGAATATCAGGACTAGAAAATAAAGTAGAGGATCTAAAACAAATTGGCAAGAAATGTAAAAAAGCCTAAAAACACAGGAAAGGACAGACAGGAAATGCAGGGCACCATGAGAAAAGCAAACTTTAGAAATATAGACATAGATAAAGAAGAAGAATCCCACGTTAGTAGCATAAATCTTCAAGAAGATTATAGAGGAAAACTTTCCAAAAGTAAGGAAAAACATACCCACACAAAAGAAGCACAGGGAACACCAAATACATAAGACCAAAAAAGAAAATCCCCAGAGCATATCACAGTTAAAACACTTCTCCTTTAATCATGGTGGATAGTTTTGCTGGCTCTATTAGTCTAGGTAAGCCATCATAGTCTTTTGGGACTTGGAATGCGTTGTTCCAGGATCTTCTGGATTTCCAAGTTTCTACTGAAAAATCAGCTCTTAATTCTGATGGGTTTTCCTTTATTTATGACTTGTGTATTGAAAACTACAAGAGAAAAAACACAAGTCATATATAAAGGAAAACCCTTGAAGAGTAGATCAGTATTTATTGCTGGCATACAAATAAGACTCTGGGAGCCCATTCCACATGGAGGGATGCTCTCTCAGCCTGGACACATGAGGAAGGACCTAGGCCCTGCCCAGGATGATATGACAGACTCTGATAATCCCTCATGGAAGCCCTTACCTTCTCTGGAGAGCAGAGGGGGGATAGAGTGGGGTGGGGCATTGGGAAGATGGGGAGCCACGGGGGAAGAAGAGAGGGAGAGGGAACTGAGAGTAACATGTGTAAAACGTTAAATAAAAAAAAAGATATCAAGAAAGAAAAAAAAAAAACCTTCCTAGAACTAAATGAAAATGAAAACACAAGAAACTCTCTGGGACATATCATGAACAGTCCTACAAGGAAAATTTACAGTTCTAAGTGTCTACATTAAAAAACAAAAAACAGAAAAAGAACAAATAAATAGCTTAATGATATAACTCAAAAAGTTGGGTGAGAAAAAAACAACCCCTAAATCCAAACTCAGTCAATGGCAAGAATTATTAAAATCAAAGAAAAAACAAAATCAATGACTCTAAGAACTGGTTCTTTGAAAAGATAAACAAGACAGACCCTTTGCCTAGCCAGAAGAAAAAAAGGACCCCAAATTAACAGAATCAGAAATGAACAGGAAAACACTACAACAAACCAAAGAAATTCAGACTATTATAAAGGAACATGTTTTAAAACCTATATTTCATTAATCTGAAAAACATAAAAGAAATGGATAAAATTAAACTAAGAACAAGTTAACAACTAAAATAGACCCATAAAACAGGAGGAAACTGAAATAGGAATAAAAGCCCTCCAGCAAAAAAAAAAAAAAAAAAGAAAAAGAAAAAGGACCAGGAGTAGATGAATTCACAGCATACTTCTATCAGACAGTTAAAAAAGATCTACACGAAATCCTTCTTAAGCTATTCAAAAAACAATAGAAACAGGAGTTGTCCTAACTCCTTCTACAATAAGTTATTTATAGATTCAATACAATCCTAACCAAAAACCCATTTTATTCTTCATTAAAAAAAAAAAACTATCCTAAAACTCAAAAGATCTCAGATAGCCAAACAAGCCTGAACAAAAAGAACATTTTGGAGAAATCAGCAGTCCAGACCTTAGCATATAAATAGTAATTAAAAACAATATGGTACTGGCACACAAACAGACATATAGACTAATAGAACAAAATAAAAGACCCAAACATGAATTTGTGTAACTTCAGCCATTTATTATTTGACAAAGATGTCAAAAACATAAGCTGGGAAAAAGAAAGCATCTTCAATAAATGCTGGTGGGAATGAAACTACTAGAAACAACCCTGTACGACACAAGTGCACAAAAGGACTTCCTGAACAGGATTACATCTGCCTAAGAATTAAGGCCAATATATGAAAAGCAGTACTTAAAACTGAAAAGCTTCTGCACAGCTAATTTAACAGTCACTCAAGTGGAGAGGCCCACAGAATGGAAATCTTTGTTAGATATACATCTGACAGAAGATTAATATCCAGAATATACAAAGAGCTCAAAAGATAAAGAATAACAAATGGCCCTTTCAAAAATGGGCTTGGGACATCAACAGCGAATTCTCAAAAGAAAGAAAAAAGGCTAATAAATACCTCAAAAAATGTTCATAGTCCTTACCAATTAGGGAAATGCAAATCAAATAACTTTTAGATTTCAGTCAGAATGGCAAAAATCAAAATGCTGGAGGGCATATGGGGAGAAGAGAATCTTCTGTTGGTAAGATTTGCAAAGTGAAACAGCACTATGGAAGACAGTATGGAAAATTTTCAAAGAAACTAGCAAACAAAAAAAAAATCTGCCATATGACTCAGTGCTTGGCACAAGACTAACGGACTCAACATTCTACTCCACAGATACTGCTCAGCCATGTTCAATCCTTCTCTATTCACAATAGCTAGGTTATGGAAACAACCTAAATGCCCTTCACTAAAGAATGAAATACTATTCAGCTATGAGGAAAAAATCATGAACTTTGCAAGTAAATTGAACTAGAAAAGAGGTCATGTTCCCTCTCATGGGATGCTCCAAGTTCCAATAATCAGACATGAGAACATAGCCCGAAGTAACTACAGAAACCAGGAAAGTAAAGCAAGACTACTGCCATGAAGCAGGGTTTAAGGAGCAATAGAGACTGGAACAGTACTGTGCAAGTGGTCAGATCAAGGGGAAAAGGAAAGGGAACTTTTTAGGGAGGAGGGGGAGTTAAATATAGAAAAAAGGGTAACGGGGAATAATGGTATAAGTGATCTGCTAGGGGAGTGGGAAAAGGTGGCTCTTTAGGGAGGGGAGAGAGAGAAATACAGAATGTGGAGAGAAGAGGAAAAATAACAATAAGAATGTCTGAAAATCCCCAAAGGAATCATATTATTAACTATTTACCCCCATAAAATTAATTCTGTTTATAAATACACTCCATTTTTTCTTTAGAATTGTTATATTAGTTACCATTATTAACATTATTAATACAAGTTATTTAATCTTAGTAAAAGATATTATATAGCTTACCACAACACAATAAATTAGTACACACACACACACACACACACACACACACACACACACACACACACACACACACCCTTTCTCCCTAGCATCAATCACAGCAGTATTTTCACACCAGAATTGCTCCCACTCTGGCTAAGACAGAAATTGTTTATCGGGGATGTTGAGTACACAGTACAAACCCACTTCCACAGCCTTGGCTGATGCTGCACCTTTGGGTCCAATCTGCTGGGATCTTTTCCTACTTGTTTTTAAGACAACCCTGGAATTTTAAGCAGCTGATAGTGGCATAAAGGTAATCTAACTGTGCTGATTATTTTTGTCAACTCAAACCTAGACATTTCTGAGAAGAGGAAATCTTTTCTGAAAAAGAAAATGCCTCCATAAGACTGGCCTATAGGCAAGTCCGTAGGTTATTTTCTTGATTAGTGATTGCTATGGAGGACCCCACCCATTGTGGGTGGTACCATCCCTGGGCAGTCCTGAGTGGTAGAATAAAGAAACTTGAACCTGGCAAGGCAGTATACATCTATAATTACAGCACTTGAAAGGCAGAGGCAGGTAGATTTCTGTGAGCCCAATACCAGCCCTGTCTACTTATTGAGTTCCAAACCAGCCAGAGCTACACACAGAAACCCTATCTCAACTTGCCCCCTAAAATAAACAAGCTGAGAAGGCCATGAGGAGCAGACCATTAAGCAGCCTTCCTCCA